TTCCGGTGCGGCAATGGTGTTGATGGTCATCTCTGCAAGCCAAGCTCATAAGAGATTTCAGACGCACGAATAGTTGATTGGGATGGGTATTTTGGGGTTTATGGAATTTGTTCAGTTAATAACTAGCCTAAAAGTTTGTATTTATTTACCAAAGAACCCCAGAAGCAGATAGAAGCACCCCTTGAGAAGCTTTTAGCTTTTGGTCTAAAAGCACTTAAATTTAAGCAAAAGCTTCTCAATGCAAACACCATTTTCGGATTCTGTGAAGCTAAAAGCAGTAAAAGTGCTTTTTTAAGCTCCCGCAAACACAGCCACAGACTTTCATTTAATTTTGATTGGTTTTTTCAATTTGGATCAATTTTAGCATGTTATGGTCGGTCTTTTTAATTCAGACATTTTCAAATCCCATGACATAAACCCAACTATCTAGGATGACGCCAGTTTTGATCGTTTTTTATTAGGTTTATTATTACCATTGAAACGGTCTTTAATGTGGACCTATTATTAGTTATCAGATCAAATATGTGATTGAAATGTACTTGTGTCCAATTCTCCCTTTTATTGCTTGTATATCACATTTTAGTATTGTTAGTATAAAATATTATTTCAAAACTTTATTATATATTTAAGATTCTTTCGAAAAAGTGTTAACATATGTTGTCCAATGTATAAAAAAAAATTAATTTTTTGCATTCTTTGCACTACAATATTACATATTTCGTATGATGATAAATAGTTCAAAATTACAAAATAGTGAATTTAATTTTATTAAGGTTAAACAAATTATTTCAAAAAATATAACAATGTGTTCAAATTTTCACAACAAGATTAAAATTAGTATTTATGAATTCGAAGTGCTTCATTTACAACGGAAAATGATAATTTTTCAATTTAAAATTAAAGAGTTAATATTTTAACATAATAATACATCTTTATTTTTTAAATTTCGAATTTATATTTTATTTTTAGTGTTTTTTGAAATTTATTTTATCTAAAGTCAATAAGGGTAAATTCGCTTCTTTATAAGAACATGACGAGTATTTTTGCACCTTTTAAAAGTTCAGGGGTATATATGCACTTCATTATATACTTCAGAGGTATATTTATCCTGAAAAATAAAACAAGAGTATATTTGTTCTCACAACAATAAGTACATGGTATATTTGTACCTTTTTCTCTATTTTTCTGATACATTGTCGTGAATATGGCTACGTTGAAGCCCATAATTTTGACACTTGTTGGGCTGGACCTTAAAAAGGGGAAATTATCGTTGAAGTCCAAGATATTCAATTATTGGAAAACGCATGAATGGTTGTTTATGATTTGAGTAGAAAACGATAAACACATAAATATTTCGATCATAAAAATTGTTCATATACATGTGCATCCGGTGCTTTTTTTCCGATTTTTAGGAGTGTAAGACACAAAATCAAGGAATTAGTCTTTGAAAAAATGTTGTTAATACAAAAAATAAGGCAATTAAACAACTACAGAGTACCTTATACGAATATTTGAATTCAAATTCAACATTTATCCTTTCTTATTTCGTACGAGATCACGTAATTTTGTTAAGGCATAAGAGATCCTTTAATTTCAAATTTAAATCCATTAAATTTCAAGATTTTAGACTTCTTTGTTAGCCATGTTCATAGGGTCTTTGACATAGTAACAAGTAACAACTCAACATGATCAAGTAATTGGACTGAGGATAAAAATGATTCAGACATAGAGTACATGTTTAACCAAAATCAAAGCCAAAGTTTTGCCAAATCTAATAGTATATGAAGTACTTTTACATTTGCCAACACACACCATTAAATTAATTATATTTAACTATGTAATACTCCATATAGTAGTAAACATTACTCGTATAAAAAATTAATATTTTGCAAACTCTCGTTAATAGAAATTAAAAATTGTATGCATAATAACTTGATTATATGTATATAGCATATATTAGTAGAAAATCATGTTAAAGTATGATAGATGTGTGGATAATATAAATATTAAATTGTTGTAATTACTAAAGAACACAGCAAATATGTAGTACGGAGTATTAATTGAAGCATCCAAATGGCCAAATGTGCAATTGATTAAAAAAAGAGAAAATTGTCCAACGTAGGACTAAAACTCAACTTTTTTCTCAAAATAGGACCACATGCATGTTTTTCTCTAAATAGGATTAAACTTACCTTTTTTACCCCTAATTCTATTTAAATAATTAATTGATCTAAATAATTGCCCCCCTAGTTTCCTTGCACAACCAAGGCAGTCCGTCGGTGGCGGGGCAGTCCGTGGTGGCGGCAGCACTCCGGCAGCGGCCGGCGGTGGATTCCGGTGGCGGCGGCAGCAACTCCGGCAATTAATAAACCCAATTAATTGCCCCCTAGTTCTCTTGCACAACCAAGGCAGTCCGTTGGTAGCGGGGCAGCCCGGAGGTGGCGGCAGCGGAAGAGGCGGTTTCCGGTGGCGGCGGCAGAATGTTGGCAAACCTCCAGAAAAAAATCTGGATGTTTTCCGGCGGCAGCAGGCGGCGGTCCGGCAGTCCCTGGGTAGCTGTGGTAAAGGTTGTGAGGGGTATTTTGGTCCAATCACTAATAAAAGTCCTATTTAAGGATGTTTAAACTAGGTACTACTATTTTGATAAAAAAAACCATGTTTTGATCCTATTAAGGTAAATCTCCCATTAAAAAACGATTTGCTGTTATTGTATTTGGTTTCCAGTTCGATATTTCGATCGATCAAACAAATTAAAAGGCATAAATTTGCTAAAGAGATGGTAAAACTGGCAGTGAAAATAATATATAGTTTTTGATAGAGTATATGGGCCTGGACCCCATGGCCCACATAGTCAAAGGCCAAGAACGCCAGCAGGACAGTCGCGTGGCACGCTACGGCCCGAAGGGCCCCGCAACGACCAGAAACCAAATCAACCCAGAGCACCATTTGGGCTCCGGGGGCCGCATCGGCCCATGGGTCGCATCGGCCATAACGTACCGACTCGGCTAGGCTCCGGCCTGGCAGAATGTGTTTTCTCATCTTATTTATTAAGTGTTGTACTCAGCCCATTAGTGACTCTATTTCGCCCAAAGAAGGCATGATTATTATAATGGGCCTCCTAAGCCCAATGCTAGGGGCTCGAATCCACATTTTTACCTATAAATAGACCCCAAGGGGCTAGTTATAGGGGGTTGAGAAATATTAATTACTCACTTTCTCTTTCTAGCTCTCACTTCTCTCTAGAAATGAAATATTTCATCAGTTTTGCTTTATAAAAAAAAACGAGCTCTATATCCCTAAGCTAGTCCATTTTAATTAGCTAGCTAGATTTGAGCTCTAAAATTGTTATTATTGTGAGGATCTTTATCAACCAGATAAGTTACTCTTTTTTTACAATAACAACTTGATTCACTTCATTATTAATAATAATGTTCGTAATACAATTAGGGAAAAAAAATCCATATGTAAGAAGCAAAATTAGCAGATACCCTCTAAAAAAACATAAGCACATCAGATATGTTACTCTTTAACATTAGTAGAAAAAAATTTAATAGGACTCCTTTCATCCTACACGATATCCAGACCCCACTTAAATAGATTATACTAGACCAAATCAGATCAGATCAAATCACACAAACAAAATTTCAAAAGTTGTAAAATACACATGAAGCATATATCTGTCATACCAAATTAGACTAGTTCAGATCATACCAGCTGATGATACTCAAACTATACACACTAGGTCAAACAAGGTTAATTAGAAAATTCCAGTCCAATTGAAAACATCTTATTTAAGGAAAATTGTGAAGCATGTTACCTCTATATTTTAATACATTTGTTTTTTAAAAATTGAATAGTTTCCATCTTTTAAATGTGACTAACATTTTCTTAATGAATATGCTTTAATTTCTTTTAATTATAACTCATATGTATTCATTTGTGTTGCATTTCTTACATGGCTGAAATCAGTAAATAATTACATTGCATTTCTTACAAACACGACTTAAACCTAAATCATTTACAAATAGGACCAAACATTAATTTTCTACCCTTATTCTAATTAATTGCCCCTTAGTTCTCTTGGACAACCGGGTCAGTCCGTTGGTGGCGGTGCATTCTAATGATGATGGCGGATTTTTGACTAATACTCATACTTGTGATTTTTTACTCTCAGTCTCTTTTAGGGTATGTTTGGCACAACTATCTGAGAAGATACTTTTGTGAGTTTTTTAATACTCCATCTGTCCCTTTTTGGTTTGCCTAACTCAAATTTTCAAGTCAAAGTTGTTCAACTTTGACCGATTATATATTCATACACGTTAATATTATTGATAATAAGAAAATTATATGAAAATGCTTTTTGTTGAAAATACTATCATAAAAGTATACATTTATTAACTTTTACATAAATATATTAGTTAAAATAATGGATCCAAGTTTATCATTTTTGACTGGAAAAGTCAAAGTTGGCAAACTAAAAAGGGACGGAGGTATGTAGTAACTGTTAGCTTTTAGTGACTGAAAAGACCTTAAAAAGAAAATGTGGTAGTTGTTTGGTAAAAAGCTGACTGTTTGATTTAGTTCGGTTTGGATACAAGTTGTTAGGACTAATTAGTACTAAAAGTCACAGGATTTTCTCAGATGCTACTCCTCGTAGCATCTCAAAAAAGATCTTTTAATTTTATAAAAGCTCTTAAAAATTGTCATGCCAAACATACAACTAGAAGCTTTAATTTTAGAGATTTTTTGAATAGTACAAAAGCTAGTAGGCAGGGACGTATGCATGTCCTATTTAGATAATTCATGGGAAAATAAGACATATATACAAATCAGGCTGACCTTAGTGAAAACTTCAAGGTTAATTAGGCCATTGATGGTGGAGACATATGGAACGTGTGAGGATATATATACCACGCTATGTATATGTTGTATAATGTATATGCACACTTAGCTAGGTACATATAGCTAGTAAAATCAAGAAGCTAGCTAATTAAGGGGGGATTAAATTAAAGATGGAACTCAACTACTTTTCGTCCTCCAGCTCCAACATACCCTTTATCATCATCTTCCTCTCCCTATCAACAATTGCTTTCTCCTTCCTACTATCCACAATAGGAAAGCTGATCAACAAAAAACCACTCCCACCAGGTCCATGGAAACTGCCCATCATTGGGAGCCTGCACCATCTAATAGGTGAACTCCCACACCGCTCCCTCACAAGATTATCAAGAAAATACGGCCCGCTGATGCATTTACAGCTCGGCGAAGTGCCCGCCATCGTCGTTTCGTCCCCGGAGATGGCGAAGGCCGTGACGAAAACCCACGACCTTGCCTTCTCCAACAGGCCAAAGCTCATGGCCCTAGACTTGGTCTTTTACAAATGCACCGACATCGCCTTCGCCCCTTATGGGGATTACTGGAGGGAGATGCGCAGGATATGCATTTTGGAGCTGTTGACAGCCAAAATGGTCAAATCCTTCGGCTCAATCCGGCAGGATGAGCTTCGCAAACTCGTCTCCTCCGTTACCGCATCGTCATCATTATCGTCATCGTTATCGTCATCGTTGTCTGTCGTGAACGTGATGAAAAAGGTGATGTGGTTTAACAGCTCGATGACGTGTAGGGCCGCGTTTGGGAGAATAAAGCTGAGCAGTAGAGATAAGGAGAAGTTGATCGCAAAGGTGACGGAGGTGCTGAGCTATGCCGGAGGGTTTGACGTGGCGGACTTGTTTCCGTCCCGGAAATGGATCCCTTACGTGTGTGGGAGCAGGTCAAGGTTGCTGACACTGCACCGTGGGCTGGACAAAATTTACGAAAGCATGATCGAAGAACATGAAGAGAACACGACGTGCAGGTCAAATGAGGAAGAAGAAGAAGACATCGTTGATGTTTTACTCCGAGTGGGGCAGGTTGGGGAACATCGTTTGACTCGGGACAACATTAAAGCTGTCATCAATGTGAGTGAGCTATTTGTTTCCTTAATCTTCATACTCGTACTACATACTCCCTCCTTTTTTTTCAATTAAGGGAAAATTATTAACTAAAACTCATTCAGATTCTCAATTTATGACTACATTAGTTTTTTTCGAAATAAAATTTAAATTCATCTTATTTAATTAATAAATAAATACTAATTTTTATGGACTAATATGCCCATTGATATTATAAAACTTTAACTTTCTATGCATTTTCTAAAATACCTAGCCACTAGCCCATGCATGTCTATGCGCCTACCCGAATCCGTCTTCGTGTCTGCTTGCCGCAGTGCTGCCTCCGCCTTTGTGCCTGTGCGCCGCCGCCTCCGTCCTCATGCCGCGCCGTCGCTGCCGATCCCATACCATGGCATCGTGACCGTCCCCATTCATAGCGCCTACCCGTGGCCGCCGCTGCCATCTCACTTTTCGCGGTTGTCCCCATGTTGCGGCTTCGCCACTATTTAATTTTTATATATATAAAATTAGGGTTTGTGAATTTAGGGGTTGTGATCATGGGCAGTGTGAACGTGGCAGTAAATATGGGAAGTGAAAATGGCAATAGATAGTGTTAAATATGGACAGTGAGCATGATATTAGATAGTGTTGTACATGGGCAGTGAATCAATGCATTGATGAAGTGTCTTGTGCATTGAATCGAAGGTAATAGAGCAATAACGACAACACAAGATGTAATATATTTTATTGGACATAAAATACTAATTTAAAGTTATTGCAACTTAAAATAAATAAATACAAACTATAAAGAAATTCCTAACGTGGATGAAAAGAGAATTGATGATGGTGGGAATGTAGTGATTCTTACCGGATGTGCTATAATATCTTGCAATAATGTTGTGCAGTAAATGCAATATAAAGTGCAACATTTTTTATTGGACAAAAATAGTGTAAAATGCACATTTTTTAAATAAGTGTATTTTGATCATTAAACATTTAATATCAACGATTTTTTCTTTTTATTTTTGTTTTTCAATCATACGAATGTCTAAAAACACAGGTAGTCATATTTAGGGAAACTCAATATGTTTTAGTCATATCCCGGGAAATTTCCCTTTTATTTAATCAAATTTGACTTGTTAAGTCAATTATATCTAATTTTGATCCATTATATACTTACACACATAAATATTGATAATATGAAAATGATATGAAAGTGTTCTTTATCAAAAATACTATCATAAAAGTAAAAAAGAATTATTAAATTTTACATAAATATATTAGTTAAATTAATTGGTCAAACTTTACTATCTTTGACTAGAAAAGTCAAAGATGGCAAAATAAAAGGGACGAAGGTAGTATTGTTTACGCCATTAAATTAATACCACACACGAGAAAATTTCTTACATAGGACTAAAACATACTCGTAGATAAAAAGCACATATAGGATCATCATTGTTTTCTTTCTAAAATAGATAGTATGACTTATTTACTCCTAACAAGTTAAGGGAAGTTTTATACTTTTAATAGGATCAAATAAGTCCTCTTTTGCAAATAAATCACATATAGTCCTATTTGTGCACTTTATTTAGGTTGTAGTCCTATTTAGAGCCATTTTTTTTAAATGTAGAGTATAGTGGGGGTGATTGTAATACTTGAGATTAATTTAAAGAGATTAATAGTACTACTCATACCAACAATGTGTATCTCCTTTTAAGGAAGCTCATCAACTAAAAAACTAAGTTACATTGGGCTTCAACCCACCATAGCCTATACATAGATCCTCCCGGCCCTGGGTCTTACTTGCATTTGCCCCATGATTTTAAAAGCAATGCATACATGGTCTTATTTTTTTCACTTTGAGAGCATATTTTCTCTTATTTGGGTCATCTGATATGCTGGTATTTATGTTCAACAATTCTTTTTGTACACACAATTTATACACATTTCGCACACATTTGTACGTAATTGTTTGTGTGCGTAGACAATGTTGCACGAGCTGCCTTTGTACACAGACAACTAGGGGATGTACACAATGTCCGTCTGCACAGACAAATACGTACGTGCAAAATGTTTCCAAATTTGGTATAGAAGTAGCTTTGTTCATTTATGTTTGGAGCAAATCAAAATGTGACTTCAATTTGTATATTACATGCCGCATGCATGCAGGACCTATTCTCAGCTGGGAGTGAAACAACTGCGACAACTGCAACTTGGGCAATGTCCGAGTTGATGAGGAACCGGTGTGTGATGGATAAGGCACAAGAGGAGGTCAGAAGCACCATAAATGGGGGAAAGACGACGGCAGCAACCTCATTCGATGATGATGAAGTGGAAAAGCTAACGTACCTAAAGCTGGTGATCAGAGAGACTCTGAGGTTGCACCCGCCCATCCCGCTCCTACTCCCAAGAGAAAGCAGCGAAGAAATAGTGATCGGCGGGTTCACCATACCTCCCAAAACAAGAGCCATTGTGAATGCTTGGGCTATCGGAAGGGACCCTGAGGTCTGGGAAGATCCAGAGGCTTTTTGGCCTGAGAGGTTTATGAATAATAATAGTTCCGCTGCGGCGGTGGAGGCGGATGTGCATGGGAATCATTATGAGTTGTTGCCGTTTGGGGCAGGGAGAAGAGTGTGCCCTGGGGTGCGCTTTGGGTTGGCTAATGTCACCCACTCTCTGGCCGCTTTGTTGTACCACTTCGACTGGGAACTGCCTCCTGGAGTGACAACTAAAAACTTCGACATGAGTGAGACCATGGGGTTGAAGGCCACCAGAAAAAAGGATCTTTGCTTGGTTGCCAGGCCATACACCCATTCTTCACTTCAGCATCTCATAGAGTGATTGATATGATCAATCTTTATTATATATATTCATGCATCCATGCATTTCCCTGCATGGCCTCTAGAAGAAACCGAACTTAGATGTAGCTAGTAAACCAAATATAATTATATATATATAGGGAGCGGTTCCGGTAAGAACGGATCTTATGAGAAAAATGAGAACGAATCTGGACCGGTGGATTGAATTATGTGGAACTGAATTGTGCATTTGGTGAAACCGAAATGTGCATTAGATGAATTGAAATGTGCAAAATAAACATTTAAACTCACATGTGCATAAGGTGAAACTGAAATGTGCAGAATAAAAGGTACAAAAATAACATCACATCGTACTTTTTATTCTGCACATTTTAGTTTCATCTAGTGCACATTTCAAGTTCACCTAATGCACAATTTAGCTTCACATAATGTCACTACATTGTAACCTTTGTGTTGCACATTTCAATTTCACCTAATACACATTACAGCTTCATCTAATGCACATTGAATTTCACATAAAACAAATCTAACGATCCAGATTCGTCCTCATTTTTCTCATAAGATCATGTTCTTATTTGAACCAAAACCTATATATATATATATATATATATATATATATATATATATATATATTGTTGAAAATGATCCAACCTGATCATGCATGGGTGCATGGATATGTAGCATTGGCTTCATTGTTATTTATTCACTTATTATCATTTGAATAAGTCTAAATGTTATTACCTATTGTTTAGGAATCATTATCACTTAGTTGGTTAAGTTGTTGAGCACGTTTAAGTGTGGCTACAAATTACGAAGTTGTTATTTACTTTGTGTGGTTAATATTCCATGTAAAATGGCTATATTAAGCCTATATGGTTTTTCATTCGAAATATTTGAGCTTTTGATTGCCTTTCTTCTCCTTCTTCTTCGTGTATATACGTTCATAGCATTCTCCCACATTTGGAATCAGAGCAAGTGATAGATCAGTCCGATATACACAAAAGAAAACAAAGAAAAACACCCAAATATGCAAAGCTCAGCAAATGGAAACTCAATCAATCAATTCCCTTGTTTAAAGAGGTTAATTATCATTTTTGGAGCTTGAAAATGAAGAGCCTCTTCAAGTCACAAGAACTATGGAGTATGGTGGAGGAAGGGTTCGTTGATGATCAGCCTGAGGGGGCTGATCAAGCCCTTCGAGAGAAAAGGAAGAAAGATGCAAAAGCCCTTTTTCTCATTCAGCAAGCTCTAGATGATGATGTATTTCCATGCATTGTTGCATCCTCTATCTCACACGGAGCTTGAAGTATTCTCAAGCAAGAATACTTAGGAGATAAGAAGGTGATCATGGTCAGATTGCAGTCTCTCAGGAGGGAGATGGAGAACTGGTGTTAGTTTTCTCGCACTTAAAAAGATTGTAGAATAGTGGTGAAAAGTACAAGTATCGTCTCCACATGGACGGACAAAAGTGAATTAAAGATTAACTAAATTATGCGATTAAAAATAAATAAAATAAATGTGTCGTGCGAGATATGATTGGTTGCTGGAAAATTAAACTAATGCAGATTAACGAATAAAAATAAATTTCGTTTCTTCTTAATTAACGACGAAGGGAACAAGGATTGATTCCGGGGTAACCAGATTTCTGGCAGATCGGGCATAATTACATGAATTTAATTTAATTGAGCTCAGCTAATCATTACTAAGTTCTTACCGCTCTCGCGGCGTAGAGTACAATAATTTAGGGGACCAGGCTGATCTCTCATGCGACAGGATCCTAAATTATTGCCAATACGAGAGAGCTTACGGCCCCTTAATCGCTACTAATCTCTTAGCGAACAATTAAGTGTGTGTGTGGGAATGTGTCCTAGAATAAATTAGATCTCTCTTAACTTATTCTACAAGCAATTGTAATTCTAGCGCGCGTTCTAGTTTACAAAAGATATCAGTTAAATTATTCAAACACAAATTAAACGGCATTCATGCAATTAAACCTACAAGAATCTAGCCATCAATCATGATTAACCCCTTCATGCATCAACCCCAAATCCCTAATTAAACTACTCACAATTCATAATTGAATAATCAATAGAATTGGGATGAACAGAAATAATTATCATTAATTAAAAAGATGAACTTACAAATAATCCCAGGGTCTTGGAGTAAACAATCGTAAAAACGCAAGTAAATTCGTTCCTAGGCCTCTCTGTAATGTTCGTAACACTTAAACAGGAGAAGGGAGGCCTTATTTATAGAAAACATATAGTTTGGACTGAACTGGGACTAAAGAGGGGCTGAAATCCGCGTTTCGGGAGTACGCACGATCGTGCGTACCCTGCCACGCATGATAGTGCGTACATGTCAGTGGCTTTCTTCCGTTTTCGCCTCGGACGCACGATCGTGCGTTCCCCTACACATGGTGTGCGTCAAACTTCCGAATTTGATAAAACTTTCTTCACGAATGTTGTAGATAATGAAGTCCTCTATCCACCCCAACTTGCGGAATTGGATTTGAATCATCCAATCAAGAGATATGATCAAAATGGTGGAAGGTGTCATTCTGATATCGCAACAGAGATCATCTGACTTCATCGTCTGTTTTCACCTTCTTGATCTCATATTCTCGTAATGGTGTCTTCATATGATTTGTATCCCTTGAAGTTGGATTTCATATAAAACTTGAATCGTGTCCATTGGTGGTTTCTACAAAGAGATATGCTTGAACGATTGACAGAAGGTCATCCTGATCGTCGTTTTCAAGCTTCATTCATCTTCTTTTGATCCCGTAGTCAATCCTATAGCTCTTTTGTCATCAAATCTTCATTGTAAACCTCCCGATGACCTCCAAAGCTCTCAATCCACTCTCGAATCATCCCGATTGCTCCTCAAGCGCCGGTGCCAAACTCTAAATTCCTGATTTTGACTCCAAATGACACAAAACTCGAACCAACGCCTGCTAAACATAACTTGAGCTAAAATTGAGACTTGCAACACCTTAAATCTAGGAAAACCATCAAAAGCCGATCCCAAGCACGCATCAAATGCGTGTCTAAATATGGACTTATCAAGAACACACGCATGAAGGATAAGGAGTCAGTTCAAGACTATTTATCAAGGATTACATCCTTGGTTCAGCAAATGAAGTCCTGTGGAGAAGAAATTAAATCCCAGCAGGTTGTAAGCAAGGTAATGAGAAGCCTTACACCCCAATATGGACAGCTTATGTGTGCTATTGAAGAATCTAAAGATCTAGAAACATGCACCTTTGAAGAGCTTAAGGGATCTCTTCAGGCTTATGAAGAAAGAAACAATAGTGAGGCTGAAAAGAGTGTAGAACAAGCTTTTCAAGCCAAGAGTGAAGCACCTAGTGGTCAAGCCTTCCATTTTCCAAGAAGGGAAAGAGGAAGAGGTAGAGGTAGAGGAGGCTTCAGAGGTGCTCATGGTGGAAGAGGCAGAGGAAGAGGTTCCTCAAGCCATGAAGGTAGACATGGTGGTTCTAAACCTCCCATTAAGTGTTACTACCGTAAGAAAAATGGTCATAAAGAAGCTGAATATTGGATAAAGAACCCAGATCTAGCTCCCGGAACTACAGATTATAGGTCTAATTATGTTGAGCAAGAACAATTGTTTATTGATCATCATAATTCAGATCATGATGGAGGAATAGTTTGACACATTGATAGTGGTTGCTCAAACCACATGCAGGATCCAAAAGTATGTTCCAACATATTGATGACACTAAGAAGGGTGTTTCAAACTATGAGATAGCAAGAAACTTGAGGTGGAAGGTCTGGGAGTGATCTCTATACACACGACACAAGGAAGGAAGAAATCATTGTCCAATGTGCAATATGTTCCACACCTAGCACATAACCTGCTCAGTGTTGGGCAATTGGTGTCAGGAGGCTACTCAGTTTCTTTTGCAGATGGAGTATGTGCAATCAAGGATGGCAGCATAAATGAGGTCTTGCTGAAGGCTGAAATGGGAAAGAACAAGTTATTTCCCATGGACCTGACATCAACTTGTGGCAAAGCTTTGGTGGTCAAGGAAGAAGAGAATGCTAAAATATGGCATCTAAGGTATGGTCATTTAAATATGACTAGTTTGCAATTACTCGGTGTTAGAGGCTTTGTTAGGGGCCTACCTAGCATTGGTAAACTGGAACTATGTGAAGGGTGTAAATATGGGAAGCAATCTAGAGTTTCTTTTCCCATTGGAGGGTCGTGGAGAGCTAGTGAATCTGCTCCATGATGATCTTTGTGGTCCAATGGAGACTGAGTCATTAGGAGGCAGTAGATACTTTCTAACGATCACTGAAGACTTCAGCAGAATGTCTTGGGTCTACTTTCAAAAGACTAAGTCTGAAGCCCTTGAAAACTTTAAGAAGTTTAAAGCATTAGTTTAGAATCAAACTGGGAAGTCAGTCAAAGCACTTAGAACTGATAGAGGAAGTGGGTTCAATTCAAATGATTTTACTTAATTCTGTGATAACTATGGCATTAGAAGAGAGTTTACTGCACCCTATACCCCAGAGCAAAATGGGGTAGCTGAGAGGAAGAATAGAACAGTTGTTGAGATGGCAAGGAGTATGCTCAAAGCCAAGAATCTGCTAGCCAAGTTCTGGGGTGAAGCAGTATCCACAGTTGTATACATTTTTAACATATGTCCAACTAAAGCAGACCAAAATCGCACACCTTTTGAAGCCTGGAGGAAGAAAAGACCCTCAGTAGGTCATATGAAGGTGTTTGGATGTATAGCCTACACTCTTGTGAATCTGAGAACCAAGCTAGAAGACAAAGCACAGAAGTGCATATTTATGGGGTACTCAACTCAGTCTAAGGCCTATAGACTGTACAACCCTCTTACTGAGTAGATCATTATCAGTAGGAATTTCATTTTTGATGAAGATGCAGCATGGGATTGGGAAAGATGCTAAGCAAGAAGCTCTGAAACCCAAGATTTTGAGTCTTGATGATCAGCCTTCACTGCAGCCTTCATCTTTTATTTTTAATGTAAAATAGCTAACCTTTCAATTATATCATTAAATCATTAGCCACTTGGCTCATTATAATCAATGGCAAAGACTCTTGAAAACTCCTATGATCTGAACTTAAAACGGTAACTCTAGCTAAAGCATGAGCAACCCTATTTGCAGACCTTTTACAAAAAGACAATATAAAATTGTCATTTCCTTTAAACAAATTCCTAATGTCATCCACAACCAACCCCAAATATGTATGGTCTTCTTCCACTTGAGCAGCCTGAATTACTTGAAGGGAATCTGATTCCAATTCCACCTGTCGTCATCCTTTCTAAGTGTTTCAATAATTCAATAATTGCTTCTTGTATTCGTCGTGCTTTCGTTTCAGCCGGAGACCAATCTGCTTCCACTGCTGATAAGTCCGTATTTTGACACGCATTTGATGTGTGTTGAGATCAGATTTTGATGGTTTCCCTAGTTTTAAGGTGTTGCAAGTCTCAATTTTAGCTCAAGTTATGTTTACCGGGCGTTGGTTCGAGGTTTGTGTTGTTTGTAGTCAAAATCAGGGAATTTGAGCCCGGGTACCGGCACTTGAGGAACAATCGGGATGATTTGAGAAGCATTTGAGAATGATTTGATAGCTTTGGAGGTCACCAGAAGATTCACAATGAAGATTTGAAGGAAAAAGAGCTCTAGGATTGGCTTCGGGATCAAAAGAAGATGAATGAAGCTTGAAAACGACGATCAGAATGACCTTCTGTCAATCGTTCAAGCTTATCTCTTTTTAGGAACAACCAATGGACACGATTCAAGTTTCATAAGAAAGCCAACTTCAAGAGCTACAAATCATATGAAGACACCTTTTCAAGAATCTTAGAGGAAGAAGGTGAAAACAGACGATGAAGTCAGAAGATCTCTGCTGGATTTCAGAAAGACACCTTCCACCATTTTGATCATATCTCTTGATTGGATGATTCAAATCACATCCGGCAAATTGGGATGGATAGAGGACTTCATTATCTACAACTCTCATGAAGGAAGTTTTGTCAAATTCGGAAGTTAAGTAGGCACGATCGTGCCCTCAAAGTCAGACACGATCGTGCCTGAAGAGAAAAGCACCGCGGAGCTACTGCCTGCCAGGCACGATCGTGCCTGGAGGGAGGCACGATCGTGCCTGCCCAAAATGCGCGTTTTTGCTACGGAGGCACGATCGAAGGCACGATCGTGCCTGGCATCGTGTCTGGCTCCGAAAATCCTAATTCAGCTCAAATTTCACCCGATTTTTCTATTTAAACAGCCTGTAAACCCCCGTTTTCGGGGGGAGCTTAGAGAGAGTGCCTAGCACGAAATTTAGAGGGCTTTTCAGCCTTGTTCATCAATCTTTTGGGATTCTTTGTAAGTTCCACCTTTTTAATTAATGACAATTAATTCTTTTTATTCCAATTCTATTGATTCTTCAATTATGAATTGTGAGTAGTTTTAATTAGGGATTTGGGATTGATGAAGGGGCTAATCATGATGTATGGCTAGATTCTTGTCGGTTTAATTGCATAAATGCCATTTAATTTGTGTCTGAATAATTTAACTGATATCTTTTGTAACCTAGATGGCCACTAGAATTACAATTGCATGTAGAATAAATTAAGAGAGATCTAATTTGTTCTAG